ACTGCACTCCAGTCTGGGCGACAGAGTAAGACTCCAACTCAAAAAATAAAAATAAAAAATCTTGTTTTATAATAGGTATTAGAGTGCTAATTTTTAAAAATAGATGGTGGGTGGTACCTACATACGTATATTACTGATAACTATAAAATATTAAAATGGTGCCTGCTCTATACCCACTAGTATATTGTATATATGGTATTTAGTCTACCTGCTAAGGTATTTACGTAGTATATATATAGTACTGGTACCTTCAAAATGTAAAGTATTAAAATCTATGAGGACACCAGTACCTTGATTATTACTATTTGAATTTAACATAAGATGAATGCATCTCACTCCTTTCAGAGGTATTCATTTTAAATAATGAAGTCCCATTAATGAAATCCACTTATGTGACAATATTAAATACTAAACTAAGTGTTGATTTTTGCTGTCAGATGTGTACATGAATATTAATATTCTTCAAAGTCATTTACTTAAAAAAAAGTAATGAAATAGTATTTCTTTAGTTGTTTTATATTGAAAGTATTTTGTCTTCCTGTCTTTTATTTAGAAAATGGAGCAAGAGGTAGAAAACTTCAATTGTTCCAGATCATGATGTCTTGATATCGGGTATTCATTCTATTCAGTTGCTATTTAATTCATTTTTGTCATATTTGCATACCTAAAGCAGTGTGAAATTTTGCATCTTTAAGGAAAAAATTAAAATAGTAAAATAAGAGTATTTAATTTTTCTTGGTATTTATGTACATGAGAAGACAAATTACATGGGTAAGATAACTGATAAATATTGGGTGGCAATTTGCAATGTAATTTCTTTTATTGAGCACTTTCATTTTATCCTTCCTAAAATAATTTGTTGCGTGAGACTAGAAACTGTCTTAGCCATCGCGTCTTTGCCAGCCTTTTCGTCATCTTAGTATCCCTGAGTGCCGGTCTCAGGAAGTGCTTTCAGCGTCCCTTGTTCATTCTCCCAAAGCCAGAGCACAAGTCACGATTCGCAGGAGGGGCGTCCCACACACAGCTCTGGCTGCACCAAATTCCGTGTCAAAATTTGTTTTTGAGATGAGCATTATTATAGTTCTCATTTGGGTTAATAAAGACGTTGAATATTTTTTTAGTTTACTTTTATAATGATGTACACAACAAATATATCAATAACTACCTTGTTAAACATCTTTTAATAGCACAAAGTTTTTATATTTGAAAAATGTTTATATCTTTCTAAAATTGTGTTTAGGTTATGTTCTATAGATATCTTTTATATTCAGTTATATAAATATAAATATTATAAATTTTGTATTAATGATACCAAAAATACATTTATTTCTTAAAGTTAAGACTGTTCACCTCCATACATGTTCTTTTGGTGAGACGATGGGAGACTTTGTAATGATTCGTTTGTAAAAATAGCTTCTTTTGGAAACCTTTTGAGAGGAATAAAGAATGGTAATCTAAAATGAGAGATTCTGGATTGTAATGCAGTTAATAGTTGAACTGCCTTTTGTTGGTGATTTATCTGGATATTGTGTTTAAATAAAATGCAGTAAATTGGATACCTTAATTAGTAGATACTGTCTTAAGCAATGCCAGTCACTGAGAACATTTAAATATGTGTATATTCCAGGAGGTATACATATACATGCTCATTTTTGTTGACACTTATAATTTATTGTTCTACGTGCATCTTTTATAATTAGGATTTTATTTTGTGTGCATAGCTTATATAATAAATTTTAGAAGTGAAAACTCAAATTGGTTTGCGTTTCTTCAATATTTTATTTTATTTTATTTATTAGTATTTTTTAATTTATTTTGAGTTGGAGTCTCACTCTGTCGCACTGGCTGGAGTGCCGTGGCACGCTCACGACCGCTGCAGCTTCAACCAACTGGGCTCAGGTGATCCTTCCACCTCAGCCTTCCACATAGCTGGAACTACAGGTATGCGCCATCATGCCGGGCTGTTTTTTTTTTTTATTTATTGTAGAGATGAGGTCTCACCAAGTTGCCCAGGCTGTTCTCAAACCCGTGGGCTCCGGCAATCCTTTCACCTCGACCTCCCAAAGTGCTGGAATTATAGGCGTGAGCCACTGAGCCCAGCCTATATATTTTTTAATTTTAGATTTTAACCTTATAGAAAGAGTATTATACCACTACATATATAATCTCTCCTGGAGCTTCCTTTTTTTGCTTAATGTTATGTTACAGCCAGGCATGGTAGCTCACACCTGTAATCCCAGGACTTTTGGAGGCTGAAATGATAGGATTGCCTGAGACCAGGGGTTCAAGACCAGCCCCAGCAACTTGGTAAAACCTCGTCTCTACAATAAATCAAAAAATTAGCTCGGCGTGGTGGTACGCACCTGTAGTTCCAGCTACTTGGAAGGCTGAAACGGAAGGGTTGCCTGAGCCCAGCAGGTCAAGGCTGCAGTGGCCATGAGCATGGTCCTACACTCCAGCCTGGACGACAGAGTGAGATGCCCAAAAAAATAAGCTGCGCCGGGCTCGGTGGCTCAGCCTGTAATCCCGCGCCTTTGGGAGGCTGAGGTGAGTGGATTGCCTGAGCCCGTGGGTTCGAGACTCACCTGGGCAGCAAGACCTCATCTCTACAATAAATCAAAAAATCAGCCAGGTGTGGTAGCACATGGCTGTAATTCTGGCTACGTGGAAGGCTGAGACAAAAGGATCGCCGGAGCCCATCAGGTCGAGGCTGTGGTGGCCAGGAGCAGCCACTGCACTCCAGTCTGGATGACAGAGTGAGACTCCAACTCAAAAAAAAAAAAAAAAAAAAATTAGCCTGGTGTGATAATGCACACCTGTAGTTCCAGCTACTTGGAAGGATCACTAGTGCGCAACTGGTTGACGCTGGGATGGCCGTGAGTGTGGCACTGCACTTCAGCCTGGATGACAGAGTGAGACTCTTAGATGAAAAAAAGAAAAATCATTCTGGAGTCTCTGACCTCAGGGTCTCAGATACAGGAAGCAAACATTCTTCAAGTGGGTTATTAAGTGCAGTGGTGAGAAGGGACACAGGTATATCAACCCTTCTCTGAGTATTGCATTTTAGGGTATGGAGGAGGTGGCATAAAATGCCTCCTGCTGGTCAACACACACAGGTTTCTGGGAAGCTGGTGGAGTAGGAAGCACTAGGAATCCGTCTCCCCACCTGGAAGATAATTGTACTGGCAGGACCAGTCTGACGTTGCTGTTTCTGTATTTGGGCCCGTTGAAGGCTTGCCACTTACGGGGAAGGCTGGGAAAGAGAGCCGCTTTGTTCCAGCCCTTTTGGCTCTCAGCACCGTTGCCGCTGCCCACCCGCAGCGGGATGTGAGTGCCTGCAGCAGCCTGCACACAACTGGTTGGAGCAAGGGTGAGCAGAGCAGGCCCTGTCCTCCAGACTTCAGGGGACCTGGCTCTCATTGCTTCTGATCACGGAGGCGAAGACAGGCAGATGGCCGTGGGGCAAGTCTCTGCCCCAGGACTTCCAGGGCGTGGAAAGCCTGGCTTGTGTTGCTCCTCTCATTCTATTTTCGCCTCTGGGAACTGGACATTAGGTCACTCCAAACAATTCCATGTGCAGGGAAAACTGCAAAGGGACTGCTGTCCCAGAAGGCTGAGAGAAGACCCAAGAAGACCTTAAGTTCATACCTCAGGCTGATTCTTAACACAGAGACAAAAAAAAATTTCTTAATGCGAAAACAAAAAATAGCAAGCCCTGGGGAAGGTAGAGAATCTTGTTTTCAACAAAAAAAATCAGGAGACATATAAAGAAAGAGGAAGATATGGCCCATTTGGAAAAAGTTAACTTCCTGAGAAAGGGTTGATGGCAGATGAACTAGACAAAGACTTAAAACAACTCTTAAAGTGTTCAGAGAATGACAGGAAGGTGTGTAGAAAATAAAGTATTGACTGGCTGCAATGTCTCAAGCCTGTAAAGCCAGCACTTTGGGAGGCTGCAATGAGGCGATTGCCTGAGCTTAGGGGTTCAAGGGCAGCCTAGGCAACTTGGTGAGACCTTGTCTCTACAATAAATCAAAAAATTAGCCAGATATGGTGGTGTGTGCCTGTAGTTCCAGCTGCTTGGAAGGCTGAGGCAGAAGGATCACCTGAGCCCAGCAGGAAGACGCTGTGGTGGCTGTGAGCATGCCACTGCACTCCAGCCTGGGCAGCAGAGTGAGACTCCGACTCAAAAAAAAGTATTTGTCGCCTGGGCAATTTGGCGAGACCTCATCTCTACAATAAATCAAAAATTAGCCGGGCGTGGTAGCATGTATCTGTAGTTCTGACTCCTTGGAAGGCTGAGGTGGAAGTTTCGCCTGAGCTCAGCGAAACTCCCAGGGGTGGCTGTGAGTATGCCACTGCACTCCAGCCTGGACGACAGGAAAAAAAATAGTGAAGGGAACTTAAGGGACCTGTGGAACCCCATCAAGTGAACCGCTACACTGTGGGATTCCACACGAGGGAGAGAGCAAGGGGCGCACAGAATATAATGGAGGAAATAATAGCTAAAATCTTAACAAGTTTAATGAAAGACGTGAATATGAACATCCCAGAAACTCCATAATCTCCAAATAGGATTACCTCAGAGATCCACATCAACCTACCTTATAATCAAATTTTTCGAAGGCAAGAGAATTCTGAAAGCAGGAAGAGAGAGGGAAGCTAACATCTGCAAGGAATGCTTAATGAGATTATGAGCAGGGTTCTTATCAGAAACAATGGAGTCAGAGGCAGCGAGCCAGACTGAGAAAACAAACCTGTCAACCAAGAATCTTACGTCTGGCAAAACCTCATCAAAAGTAAGGAGGAGATTAAGATATTCTCAGATAGATAAAAGTTGAGGGACTATATTACCACTTGATTCTCCCTGCAAGAAATAGTCAAGGGGATCGTGCAAGATGAACCAAAAACAGAATCAACTAGACAGTAACTTGAGCCTATGTGAGAAAACAAAGATCTCAATAGTGGTGAACGCATGGGTAACTATAAAAGCTGGCAGTATTGGAACAATGGTTTGTAACTGCACTTTTTAGTTTTCTACGTGCTTCAAAGAGACTAATACATTTCAAAAAAATAAGTATTAGTCTAAATACTAGTGCTGTTGTAGCTTTTGTTTGTAACTCCACATTTTGTTTTCTAAATAACTTAAAACCGGGCTTGGTGGCTCAGCCTGTCATCCCGCGCTTTGGGAGGCTGAGGTGAGTGGATTGCCTGAGCCCGTGGGTTCGAGACCCGCCTGGGCAGCTTGGCGAGACCTCATCTCTACAGTAAATCAAAAATTAGCCGGGCGTGGTAGCACGTACCTGTAGTTCCAGCTACTTGGAAGGTGGAGGCGGAAGAATCACTGGAGCCCAGCGGGTCGAGGCTGCAGTGGCCGGAAGCGGCCACTGCACTCCAGTCTGGACAACAGAGTGAGACTCCAACTCAAAAATAAATAAATAAAAAATAACTTGAGACACTAATAATAAAATAGGTTTTTGGAGACAGTGTAAAAAATGTAGTTTTGTAACATCAACAACTGACAGAACTGGGCACAGTGGCTCATGCCTGTCATCCCAGCATTTTGGGAGGTGGAGACAAAAGAATTACCTGACTCCACAGGTTCAAGACCAGCTTGGACAAAATGGTGAGACCTTACCTCTACAATAAATCAAAAAATTGGCTGAGCATGGTGGTGGACACTTGCAGTTCTAACTACTTGGAAGGCTGATGCAGAAGGATCACCTGAGCCCAGCAGGCTGAGGCTATGCTGGTCAAGAGCATGCCACTGCCCTCCAGCTTGGGCGACAGATTCAAATTCTAAGAAGGAAAAAAAAAATACTGGCAAACTGAATTCAGCATGTTAAAAAGTATTGTACAACTATGATGAGGTGGGATTTTTTTCTAGAATGCAAGGATAGCTCAATATATAAAAAAAATCAGCCGGGCTCCGTGGCTCAACCTGTAATCCCGTGCCTTTGGGAGGCTGAGGTGAGTGGATTGCCTGAGCCCATGGGTTCGAGACCCGCTTGGGCAACTTGGCGAGACCTCATCTCTACAATAAACAAAAAATGAGCCGGGCTTGGTAGCGCGTGCCTGTAGTTCCAGCTACTTGGAAGGCTGAAGTGGAAGGATCACCCGAGCCCAGCAGGTCAAGGCTGCAGTGGTCGGGAGCAGCCACTGCACTCCAGTCTGGGTAACAGAGTGAGACTCCAACTCAAAAACACTGTAATACACTACTTTTGCAGAATGAAAGGAAAAACACGTGATCATCTCAACTGATTCAGAAAAAGCATTTGACAAATTTATGACAGAAACACCCAACAAATTGGAAACAAAAGGAAACTACCTTAACATAATAAAAGCAATATGGGAAATTCCAGAGCAAACATCATACTCAATAGTGAAAGACTAAGAGCTTTTCTTCCAAGATTGGGAGACAAGAATACCTACTTTTGCAACTTCTATTCTGCATAATACTGGAAACTCTAGCAAGAACAATTAGGAAAGAAAATAAATAAAAGGTATTCATGTTAGAAAGGAAGAAGAAAAACTATCTCTGCAGATATGTAAATAAAGTAGAAATCAAAGATTACACATACACACAGAGACACAAAATACAGTTAAAGCTCATAAAGGAATTCAAAGTAGCAGGATACAAAGTCAACACAAAACTTGTGTTTCTATATACAGAGTACTCTGAAAAATAAATTACCAAAGCAATTACATTTATGATAGCAGCCAAATGAATAAGATACTTAGGAATTAACCAAAGA